GAAGCTGCTAGAGCCGGAGGAGCGCATTAACGTGCTGGACTACCAAAAGTTGATGAAGACCAAGCCGCATTTGCTGCTGGATGTGCGTGCGCCAGCTGAATTTGAAATCTGTCAGTTGCCCGACTCAATTAACGCGCCCTTGGCGCATGTCCTGGATGACAGCTACCTACAACGTTTCGCCCAGCACTTGGAGAGCAAAGAGTTGCCCATATTTGTTGTATGCCGTCGCGGCAACGATTCACAGATTGCCGTGCAGCACATGAGAACTCGCTTGCCCGAGCATTCCATACGCGACTTGGAAGGCGGTCTGCATGCCTGGACAAACCAAGTCGACCAGAGCTTTCCGATTTATTAGAGCACACAATCCTTAATCCAATTGACATCTATTTTTACAATGTTAATTTATTAATATTGCGTCGGGCAACAGTGAATTTCTACCCGGATAGAGAATAAACCATTGTGTATATTTTTATATTATTCATTTGTATTTGTTTTATTGTCAATTGTTTGACTTATAATCTATTCCTACAAACCAAGAGAATTTTATAAGAAATTTGCACCTTTTATGAGGGGCGCAATACCCCTCACGCATTAAAAACACTAAATAAATATTATCAATTATTATTTCGCATTTAAATGTTTGTCCCAACGTGTGCCTACATATATGTAAATGTAATTTAACACCGTTCTGTGACCAACTACTGCAATAAATAATAATAAAAATAGAATGTGAAACCCATCACGCCTAAATACTCACTCTTAACAAATGATAAGCCAAACATTACATTCCCATAATATGTATATACATGTATGTGTGTGTGTGTGTATGTATGTATATACATGTGTATGTAGATATATGGTGAAATGCATTGCATGTGTTCATAAACGCTTAATTCTGACAGAAGATTAGAGCCATTTTTGAATTGCTTAGGCTTGGTATCGATACCTGACTGTACAGTTAAATGTATGTGTGTCTGTGTGTGTTTAGTGAGAATCGGAGCATGCATAAAAGCAGCTCTGCTTGTTGGCGGGTGTCCAGAACTCAAATGGCAGCAGCCCAGCCGCAAAACTAGAGAACGCAGCTTATAGTTTGTGAAGCGCTACTGATAAGGAGGATCGGATTCAAGTGGACGTAATGAACGGGTCAAATCTTTGTTTGTTGCTCGTCTTCGCCTTTGCGCTGTGGGTTAGTATATTAGCAGTTAGACAGGATTATATATGCTTATTTTCCACGTTTCTATCGCGTTCAGCTGCCTTATGGAACTGCCGATGAAAATAGCTGCTCCGCATCCGTGCTGCAGGCGCAACGCTTCTTTGAACAGGAGAACTCAAAGTTGCGGGAACGCTACCATGCTGAGTACTCAGCCGCCTATACGTACAACACGAACGTGACCGAAGAGAATCGCCGCGCCATGATAGTGGTGTACGCGGAGAGTGCGAGCCAGAACAAACTGTTGGCGCAGGCTGTTCGGGCGGGCGATTATGCCAAATCCGCTGACTCAAATATACGACGGCAGGCGCGAATGCTGCAGGATCTGGGTGCGGATGCACTCGACCCTAGCGACTATCTCGAACTGAAGAATGCCATTAGCTCCATGCAGTCCAACTATGCCACCACCAGTGTGTGCTCCTACACGAATCGGACCGACTGCTCGCTGACCCTGGAGCCGCACATACAGGAGCGTCTGGCGAACAGTCGCGATCCCGCCGAGTTGGCATGGTATTGGCGCGAGTGGTACGACAAGGCTGGCACGCCTATGCGCGGAAACTTTGAAAAGTATGTGCGCCTTACACGCAAGGCTGCCCATCTGAACGGTATGTGCTTCTCTCTCTCTCAGCTGACCAGATAACCCCGTGATCTCTAACAAAATAAACGCCCGTTTTCTAGACTATCGCTCCTATGCCGATTACTGGGTACACTTCTATGAAGATGCGGACTTTGAGAGACAGCTAGATGCCACCTACAAAGCACTGCTGCCCTTCTACAGACAGATACACGGTTACGTTAGGTACCGCCTACGCCAGCATTACGGACCTGAGGTGGTGCCTGCTGAGGGCAATATACCGATGCATCTGTTGGGCAATATGTGGGCGCAATCGTGGAACGATGTCATTGATTTATTCACACCGTATCCGGAAAAGCCATTTGTGGACGTTAAGCTGGAAATGGAGCGACAAGAATATAGCGTTCGGAAACTGTTTGAACTAGGTGATCAGTTTTTCCAATCGCTGGGTATGCGTGCTCTGCCGGCAAGCTTCTGGAACTTGAGTGTGCTGGAACGACCCACAGATCGCGAAGTCGTCTGCCATGCGTCTGCGTGGGACTTTTATCAGGACAGCGATGTACGCATCAAGATGTGCACCGAGCTAAACACACATTATCTGTACGTTGTGCATCACGAGCTGGGTCACATACAATACTATTTGCAGTATGAGCAACAGCCTGCCGTTTTTCGAGGTGCGCCCAATCCGGGCTTTCACGAGGCTGTTGGCGATGTCATAGCGCTATCGGCCATGTCCGCCAAGCACCTAAAGAGCCTTAATCTCACCCGCAGCGGGCGCCTAGACGAGAAGAGCCGCATTAATGAGCTTTTCAAGCAAGCTCTATCTAAGATTGTCTTCCTGCCTTTTGGCTATACCATGGACAAGTATCGCTATGCTGTGTTTCGCGGCGAACTCGATGAATCTCAGTGGAACTGCGCCTTCTGGCAGATGCGCTCCGAGTTTGGTGGCCTTGAACCGCCCATAACTCGCACCAATAGTGACTTTGATCCGCCCGCTAAGTATCATATTGATGCCGATGTCGAGTACTTGCGCTATTTTGCGGCGCACATATTCCAGTTTCAGTTCCATAAGGCGTTGTGTCGCCTAGCTGGACAATATGCGCCTGGCGACAGTCAACAGACTCTCGATAACTGCGATATATTTGGCAGCAAAAAGGCGGGCCAAGCATTTAAAACATTCCTGTCAGCTGGCAATTCAAGGCATTGGAAAATTGTTTTGGAAGAGTTTACTGGAGAAACTGAAATGGACCCGGCTGCACTACTCGAATACTTTGATCCGCTTTATCAATGGCTCAAGCTGGAAAACAGCCGCCTGGGCGTGCCCTTAGGCTGGGGAAATACTAATAGTGAGTTCCCTATTTTTACCTTACCGAAATTCGCAAATTCAGTTTCTTGAAATCTTTTCAGAAATTCCATCGAGTTGCTGTGGACTATTCAGTACTTAAAATACATATTTCTTTGCTTAGAGCCAAAATATGTTCTTTCCTTGTATATATATATATTTTGTACGAAGGCGTATAACTATTATATATATATGCATGTGTGTGGGCTAGTGTATGCATGCACATATGTATGCATGCATGTTCGCTTTCTAAGACCAAGTTTTTTTTGTCGCTGTGCTGCAAATTTAAATAAAACGTATTTTTAGCAAGTGCTCTACTCCTCGATTCTCAAGAATTCAGTTATTGTGCTTAGCTAGTAATGTATTGCTTACTTTGTTGTATACTTTTTGGTTTTTGTTGTTTTTTTTTTGTATATATGTATGTACATTGATATGTATGTGTGTATGCATGCATGCATGTTTGCATATATCAGACAATTATGCATATAAATATTTACCAACATACATACACACATATTCAGCCACGCACATAAAGGTGCACACATACATACATGTATGTATATAAGATTGTATGTATGTTTGTTTGTATTCATACATGTACGCATGCATGCATGTTTGCATATATACAAAAGAAACATGCATACATATGTGTACAAACAGGCATTCATATAGATGCAAAGTTAAAACTTCACACAACATCTCAAATTTTGTACATATATTGAATAAATTGCCAGCAGTTAAGTGAATAGTTTAGCAAATATTTATTGTTATGATTTTTAATTCGTTTGTTCTTTAATTATTTCCATTACATATTACATTTTAACGATATTTATCTGTTCCAGGGTTTGTACAAAATCTTCAATTTATTAGCAACAAATTACATGCTAAAATTTCGTTCACTCGTCGTCAATTTTCTGGAGTCCGGTTACTCGAACATTTTTATAAGATTTCAAAAAAAAATAAATAAATGCTTGTAGTACATATTAGAGCATTTAATAGTTGATAGTTGCTAATGAATATTTAAAGCCATTGGGCAATGATATTATTAGGCGCAGTTTTCAATATTTGATATTTTTGATTGAATTTGATTTTTATAAATCTTGAAAATAACTCTAGTTCGTAAGACTGCAAACATGTCATTAATATTTGACGTATGTGAACTCAACTCCAAAAACTGCTCTAATTCATTTATATAATTATTAATTAAAGTGCAAGTTATGAAACGTGTGAACAGGAAGTAAAATTAAAATATAAGCGCTATAAATTAATAATTCAATCTTAGGCTTTTAAAGTATTCCTATATATTGTCTGCTCTACAGACATTTCTCTGACACATTTTGATCATTCTCTTTTGTTGAACTGTCGCCTGTTTTAAGGTTTTATTAATATATATATATATATACATTATTTTGCTTATCAACTGGCCATTAAACAACGCAAAAGTCTGAAAAGTCGAATATATAGCTGGGAAAAGTTTTGTTTCATGAGAAATGTAATGTTCTTTTTCTGTTTACAAACAATTTGCTTTGATAGCTTATCGATCGTTTTCCCAGTATGGTATATAGTTTATATTTAATGTTTATTCATAGAAGCACCTATGTGATAAGCGTGTGGACTAAGATCAGCTGGCTCTAATTTGATCTATACCTTAAAGCTGGCAAGGAGCACAGTCAGACGAACGGTAAGAATTGAGGATGATTATGTGTGTGTACCAATTGGTTTGATGGAAGGTGAGTGTTTTGTCAAATCTGAGTGTGATTTACAATCACGACTTGGGCGAGCGAGTGTATCTATGTGAAGCTTGACACAATTGTTGTCAATAACAAATTAAGAATCGTTGCATTTAACACTGGAAAATAACAAAGAAAAAAGTATACATTAAAATGGATAGATTTAATGTGCTAGACCGCGAGCAAGGATTTGGTTAATTCTAATGAGTGAGTATGCTTTGTTATACAGTTTTGTTTTTTTTTTTTTTTTTTTTCATTTAATAATATGTCCAATTAGCACAATAGTTAATTTAATAAATTGTTATGTTCGCTATCATTGCAAATGTTATGTAGATATTTTAGATCGAAGACTTCTGCCACAAGCATGATTTCGTATCATCTGTTCGATGCAGTTTCTATTTCAAAGCAGCAATTATGTTGTATGTTTACGGGTAATATACAAATAGATTATAAATATGTATAAATATGCAATTTATGTAGTTCTTATCAAAGGATTTTATCCCAGACTATTTGAAGATTATTATTGAATACAATTTCCTATTCAAAAGTTTAACCATTCAAAGTTGCTTGACGTTTGCCCAACATCGATTTTATAAAATCCAGAACGAAATGGAGCTTGGATGTTTGTGTCGAGCAAGCCATCCGTAAAGATCACAAGTCGCCCTCAGCTGGCCTTAGGTGTTGCTTGCTAATTGACTCCTGGATAAATGTGCAATTGACTTTTCAGAAATGCTATGGTAGTATCTATTTTCGATAGTGCCTTCTCGAACCAAATACGCGTTTAGCATACTTAGTCCAAGAATGGGTTTTGTCATAGGGGCCTCTGATGCTGTAGGTTTTGATGTAGCAGCTGCTGTTGCTGCTGCTGCTGCGTGACACTGCTAATACTATGGTTGCTGCTGCTACTACTCGCGCCGCCACCCTTGGGTCGCGTTGGCGGTGGCGGAGGCGGCGCGTGCCGCATGCGTTGCTGCAGTATGCGCGGCAACTGCGGATGCGCCTTGTGCTGGGCCGGCGGCGCTGGTGGAGCTGCTGAGCGATGATAATGCGGAATCTGCTGCTGCTGGTGATGATGGTGCTTGCCCATAGAGGACGCTGCCGAAGACGAGCCAGATGCTCCAGATGTCGAACTGGTCGATGCATGCGATGTGGTTGAACCTGTGGCCAACTTCGTGGGCAAATTACTAGTCGCTGCTGGTGAAGAGAGTGCGGCAATGGTTGCCGACGGCTGTGGGTTTCGCTTCGGTGCTGCAACTGGCGCATAGGAACCATCATCCTCATCGGATGACAGTGAGTTGGCGTCGGATGGCGTGCGCGAACGAGACGGTGGCGAAAGGGCCTCCTGCTCCTGCAGAAACACCCGAAAGCCCTGAATGGACTCATTCAGCGCCCACAGTTGGGACAGCAGCGACAAGTCCAGCTGCCGCAAGCCGTACATTTCGCGGCGCAGTATGGCCAGCTGGTTGTCGATGGTGCTCGACGCATTATTGCTGCCATTCGCGGCCGGCTGATGGTGCTGGGCTGCGCCTCCGCCCGCGCTGTGCGTAGACGAGGCCCGACTATGCACACTCTCACGATCACTTAGCGACTCCTGTGTGGATGACAAGCTGCCATGTCGTCCATGACCGTTGTAGTTGCGATTGCGCGTTGCTGCCGCTGCAGCCGAGGAGGTCGATGGCCCCAGGTACAGATCGCCCGTCGCAGCGGTCACTGCGGCAACGGACGTGTTCGGTTGCAGTTGCTGCGGTGAGGATGTGTGAGAGCGCACCTGCGCCTGGCCTTGACCAAGCGCGCTGCCACTCGCCAGCTCCGGTCCCATAGAAGTGCCAGCGGCAGCGGCGCTCAGACTTTTTGGCAGTGGCGGTAGACCAGTAGTTAATGTGTATTGCTGTTGCAGCTGGCGTTGTTGTTGCTGTTCACTGTTGCCCATCATTTTGGAAATTTTGATGCGATTTGCAATTTGTATAGTTAAAAAATGTTATTGATGGTTATAGTTGTTGATTTCTGCTTGCCCGTAAATTAGGTCTAATTCTTAATATCGTTGTATTTGTTGTTGTTGTTGTTGCTTTTCGTATTTCCGTAACCTTTAGTGTATATTGAATTTCCAACTTTGGCGGCACATTGGGCACTGTTTGTTTAATTGTTGCAAGTTTAGCCACTTGACAATGCAATGCATGTGAAAGCAATGGGAGCATACACCCCACACTAGGGGGCAGTCGTCACCGGGTAGCGCACACTCGGGGCAGGTGCTCTCAAAGGACATGCGACAAATGCCACAATTCTCATCATTTGCTATCCAACGCCAAGATGCAACTCCCGTCCATGACTTGATTGTTACTTTCATTTTGTGCACATTTGCTTATCATGTAATCGAAATTCTGATGCAGTTTAACAATGTGTATGTGCGTATTTGCCGTAGGACAATCGTTCGTTTTCCGCAAAATATTGCTTTTTTTCTGCTACCACCTGAAAATAGGTCGACCGTAGTGATGTGTTTTTTTTGCTTGTTTCTTCTCTCGTCTCAATGTTATTTCTCTCGATTTGCGTGAGACGTTCGATGCTCAATTTAACACTGTTATGCTCGCATGGTGCTGTTATGAACTCGATATTTTCGTTCAATACTTATCGATAAATACATGTCTGTTTTAAGTTACCATTTTTCACCAACGATGTTAAAATTAATTTTGAAACATGTAATAACGTCACAATCTGACTGGGCAAACGGTATTTAGCAAGTTGGCGTTCTTCATAAGCTTTAGATTTATTCCTATCTAATCAAAACAAGTATTTCGCAGTCATCTGTCGCAAGTCCACTCCTTATTGATAATCATTATCGATACTCTTTCGAAAATTCAATGATATTAAATATGATGAGAGTATACAAACTGGATTCGAGATTAGAGTATTAATCATTTAAGTTCAATCTGTGCCCATATTAAGTAGTCAAAAGAAAATAATCAATTATTATTAATAACATAGTCAGGCCATAGTTTGTATATCAAGTTATTGAAAACCATTGCTTCAATTCACCATGAATTTTTTGCAGTGCACAGATTAGCATGGATATAACATTTTAAATCGCGGTTATTTGAATATGTCTGTTAAGCATTGGACTTCTGTTATTGAATAGACAGACACCAACACTAACTAACGAACATTGAATTTAGGCATCCAATGAAAATTACAAAAAGATTATATTTTTGCAATATACATATGTGTAATAATAATTGTATACAAATAATTTTAAAGTTGATTATTTCAATGGTTACATAAAAATGAGCACTCTTTTATCATGTGCGCGATATGAGCTTATATACATACACATGCATATACGTATACCATTACTGGCTTGATCAAACCTGAGTCGAATCATTGATGATAAAGTTGTTTCTGGCGTCGTTGTATCGCGTTCAGTTAACCGACGAAAGTTGAAGCTGACAAACGTGCGCGGAGCTTTTCGCGTTACTGCAGTTCTTATTGTTTCGTTGTGTTGTTTCATTGTAGTTGTTCTTGGAGTGCACTGCCGAAGTGAATGCAACGGTAATAAAAGCAATAAGCAAAACAAAACAAAACAAAAAAAATGCGTATGGCGAAAGCTAAAAGCGTTCAAGTGTGTGTTTTGTGTAGCTCATAAATGCGACGAAAAATATTAAACTGTTATTGAAAACAAGAACCAATATCTACAACTTATAAGATACATATATGTACATACGTTGTTGACCCTGAGGCATGCCGCTTGCCAGCTTAAAGAGACGCATTTGTTAATTTTCAACAGATTGACTTTTTGTCTTGTTGAGACGGACGTAACGCGCGCATGCGCTGATTCGCTTTGTTTTGCGGCGATTCTTCTCGAGCTTTTGTTCCGGTTTCGGGCCATTTTGTGCGTCTCTCTGCGATTCTGCGAATCACTTATGAGTATATGAGTAATGTGAGGAAAATGTATTACAAATGCCTGCATGTGAACAATTCACAATTATAATTTCAAATCAAATGTGAATTTAAATCTGATATCTGCGAGTTTATGCTCTGCCTGTGCTGTCATGTGTCTTGGCAATAAAAAGTTGCTAACAACACGCGAATAGACAAACAAACAAATGTATCTATTTTTAGAGGCGTTAGCTCTGCGAGCAAAGAGTTTGTCCGGAAAGAATTGAGTAATTGGTCAAGTAATTGGCATAGCATACATACCCATAATGCAACTATATACATGTATGTATATATTGATAAAAACATTATATATATAGTTTTTTGATAAAATTTGTTAGCGTCGGCTATTGAAAACAACAATTATAGCCCCACCATGTCGGTTGATAAGGTTTGAGCCAATCGCTCAATGTCTGGTGAGTTACCCTTCAGACCGACTTCTTATATACTACTTATATTCAGACACTCGACGGCAATCAACCAGCCTAGGATCATTGCAGCTAGTCACACTGATAAAAGAGTTTAATCACTTTAAAAACATGTTGCTTTAAATAAATCATTTGAAGCAGGCAACGCGCATTCACTTAAGGAAGTAAATCCAATGTAAATCGAATTGAATCATTCAGTTATGTACTTTTTTTGCATGAATCATTCGCATACATATGCATGTATTCGTAATTGATTTGAAGACAATAAGCTGGAACTGAAATCAAATAATTAAATTAAAAATACTCGGAATATATACTCGAGGCGAGGTTCAGGCACAATAGAATCTAAGCAAGAAAGCCATTAAATGTCTTGGGAACTGACATCTAGGGAACTTACGTGTTTTACTTACGGTAGAATATAATTTGCGAGTGCTGACCACGTTTCAGGTGCTGCTCATATCTATTGTCTCACGCCTAACTATGGCCAAGAAAAGTCACAGGTGTTTTCCAATAATGTCAAGTCAAACAGTTTTACTTTAGCTGAGCTAAAGTTAAGCTAAGGGTAACTAACATTTGCATACCCTTTCTGAAGGTATAATAATTGTGTCATGCCATGTGTAATGCATTGAAGGCGACCCCAACTGCGACCCCATCAAGCAAATACTATATGTTCCAAATCTTTTCAACATTTGACTACTATAAACATAAAGCTGTTATTGGAACGATCGGTCGAAAACTAACTTCTTGTATGAATAATTTTTGTGTTCGAGATAAAATATATTAAAATTAAAAAATATATATGTATCTTAAATCTTCTTCCTTTCCTTTACACTTGGTGTTTGCAGAGAAAGGTTCGATTCAATCCTATATAGACATGGGTCGAAAATTGCCACTCATCAAGTTCCTAATATTACCTATAAATATTGCTAACCGACTTAGAAATGCATCAACCCACACATAAAGAGTGTTGCAGGCGGGAGTGCTCGACTGGGGGATGCCCTGCACCTTCTCTTAGCATCAGCTCAGAATTGATAAAATTAACTAAAAAATTAATCAAAAGTGCGAAACACGTCTCAAATTAACTTTCACAAATTTAAGATTAAGTTGAGGATAGAAGTTTTTCAACTCGTCGAAACACATATTCATTAAGTTATTCACGTATTCATTGTTCACAACTCAAAACTTTAAACGAAAACTTCTTGAATTGTATTTTCCACAGAGTAAGCTTTGATTCTACAGAAAGTTTAAGCCACAACTCAAAAATGTTTCAACAACATTTACTGTTGAATTGGCCTTTGAATTTGCCCAAAGTTCTCTAATGTGCATCATTAGCATTGTCTAATGAATTATAAGTTGTAAGAAACTTTAATGTGAAACAACTCCGCGAGTCTACTAGTTCAATTCTTAACCAATTTTGTTATTTGCAAGTTTCTTCGATCGCTTAAACTACCTTCAGAATGTTTATTGAAGCATTCAGGTCAATCAGGCGGTGTCAATAACCGTTTGCACGTGCCACGTTCATGGCTGATATATCGACTACAACTAAAACCTGAACAGCATGCACTGGCCCCGATTTTGGCTATGACAGTTTCAAAACAAGTGCAAGCGTTCGAACGAACATGCGTTCGAGTGCGAGTGCAAGCGAGTTTCGCTCGCGCAACTTTGAATCAACAGCTCCAACCTAGAGCTTTTTGTGGCACTTGCTGCGAGTCGCAAACAATTTGTCAAGTGCTTTGACGTACGTCTATAAATCTTTTAGAGTATTTCAAGGCAAAGTCTCTTGCCTTGTGTCTGCTGCTTTCACTCATTGTTGCATTTGCTGCGACAAAATTGCAGAATAATTAGTATTCGGCGATTTGTACAGTTTTTGATAAACGCGCTTCGCATCTCTATTGATATTACCAATTAGAACGTTGACTGTAATGAGGCGCACAAATATTTTCATGTCGTGCTTTGTTGATCGAGGCATTGCTTTGTTGCTACTTTGAGCATTAATGTATCGACTTGATTGGCGTATCGTTCCAATCGATGTATACTACTTATACCAGAAGCTTTATCACTTTTGGTGTATCTTAAGCTCACAATTTACAAAAAACAAAAAACGTGTCTCGATTTTATAGAAATTTGAGCAGATATCGATGAAAATGATAAGCTTCTAATGCGATTGGTAAATATGAATATAAACTATATTACGAATAATGAGTAATGAGTAATGACTAATGAATAATGAGTAATGAGTAATGAGTAATGAATAATGAATAATGATAAAAAATGAAATAGAATTTCGTGAATTTTAATTAATAATTAACGGTCTGTACTCGTTTAATTCGCACAAATATTAATTCATATTCATTTTAAGCAGACTTATTTCTAAAATACTAATTAATTGCCCTTAATAATAGTTATTTGTTTCTATGTTTTTATTTGTCAATTAAAGTAATATTTTACGAACAGAACTAAGCCTATTACGAATGAGAATTACATCAACTCTCCTTTGTCTGCTATTTTTTTTCATTTTTATTTAATTTCATAAAGTGTAGCATGTTGATCTAATGAAACAATGAAAGGCAGAGAAGACACCTGTAAATGTTTATTTATAAATATATACATATATATGCGCTTTTGTATCATGTTGCTCTACGCTTTTTTTTTTTATTTTGTATTTTTTTTTTTTGACAGCAACAACGATTATTGTGGGTAATTTTCCAGTGAGGGAACTAAGATTATTTCTCATTCACGTTTTTAGTGCTTAATTGGTTGGCATACAGCTTAATAAATATGCACACACACAGACACATATATATATAACCTGTAAATTCATATAAAACAGGCGTGCTGGCGTGTCGACTAGAAGATACCCTGTAATAAGTAGCGATTGTGCCTTGCCAAAAATGCTTTTGAGAATAACCTTAATAACGATGAGAGGATGCATAAAAAGAAGCAGGGCCTTGCCGATATATGAAGATAGAATTACGAGTAAGAAATCCTTAAAAATGATATTATTTTGCACGATTTATACAGTCGAGAATCTATATACTTTATCGTAGAAGTCTCCGTTCGTATAATGAAAATTGTAAATCTCAATTATTATTAGATCAATTTATTAGATCAAGTATACCCATTTTTAATTGATGCATGATATATATTTGATTCTATGAGCTAAAAGTGAAATGAGTATACTCAAATA